GGGGGGGGAGGGCGGTAGTTTGGGTTCTGACTTGATTGTTTACTATTATCATATGATCGGATCAAACCTCCTCATCTATGGTAAAGTTTCTTAGTTTTTATCTATTTCCTCAGTAGATTAATAATGCTACTATACGTATATATCGTACACTTAGTGTGGAAGCTGTAATATATGTGTATATTTCTCGTTACTACACCGAACTTGACTTAGAAATACGATGATGAAGTTCTTGGCTTTTCTTGGTCGTCGTCGCCTCATTTGTATCGAATTTTACAAGAAATATTGAATGTATGTTTATGTATTCTTGCAGGAAATAAAGAAATAAGTAGTGTGGTCATGAGAAGTCTCCATACCTGGAGTTTACCTGGAGAGAGTTCCGGGGGTCAACGCCCCCGCGGCCCGGTCTGTGACCAGGCCTCCTGGTGGATCAGAGCCTGATCAACCAGGCTGTTACTGCTGGCTGCACGCAAACCAACGTACGAGCCACAGCCCGGCTGGTCAGGTACCGACTTTAGGTGCTTGTCCAGTGCCAGCTTGAAGACTGCCAGGGGTCTGTTGGTAATCCCCCTTATGTGTGCTGGGAGGCAGTTGAACAGTCTCGGGCCCCTGACACTTATTGTATGGTCTCTTAACGTGCTAGTGACACCCCTGCTTTTCATTGGGGGGATGTTGCATCGTCTGCCAAGTCTTTTGCTTTTGTAGTGAGTGATTTTCGTGTGCAAGTTCGGTACTAGTCCCTCTAGAATTTTCCAGGTGTATATAATCATGTATCTCTCCCTCCTGTGTTCCAGGGAATACAGGTTTAGGAACCTCAAGCGCTCCCAGTAATTGAGGTGTTTTATCTCCGTTATGCGCCGTGAAGGTTCTCTGTACATTCTCTAGGTCAGCAATTTCACCAGCCTTGAAAGGTGCTGTTAGTGTGCAGCAATATTCCAGCCTAGATAGAACAAGTGACTTGAAGTTGAATTTGGTGAAGGTTCGTTCATGACTAATCTCATTTTTTCAGTCTGGGGCTCCGTGCATGCATGTCTGAACCTTGATTATGTTGTGATCTGAGTATATTGTTTTTGATATGGTGACATTTCGTATTGGATCATCATTGTTAGTGAAGATGAGGTCTAGTGTATTCTCCAGTCTAGTAGGCTCTATTATTTGCTGGTTTAAGTTGAATTTTGTGCAGTGTGTGAGTTGAATTTTGTGTGTGTGTGAGTTCTCATCAGAGCTGCCTCCTGGTGTTATCACTGCAACAATATTATTTGCTATATTCCTCCATTTTAGGTGCCTCAAGTTGAAATATCCCAGGAGCAAGATGTTGGGGGCAGGAGCTGGCAGATTTTCCAGACAGTAGTCAATTTTTAACAGCTGTTCCTGGAATTGCTGGGACGTTGCATCCGGAGGCTTGTAGACTACCACAATGACTAGGTTTTGGTTCTCGATCTTTACTGCTAAAACTTCCACTACATGATTTGAGGCATTAAGTGGTTCTGTGCAAACAAGTGACTCTGCGATATACAGGCCAACCTCCCTGTTTTGCCTGTTCACTCTGTCACATCTGTATAGGTTGTAACCTGGGATCCATATTTCGTTGTCCAAGTGATCCATTATGTGGGTCTCTCTGAAAGCCACGAACATTGCATTTGCCTCTGCAAGCAGTCCACGGATGAAAGGTATTTTGTTGTTCGTTGCTGGCTTTAGACCCTCTATATTTGCGAAGAAGAATGCCATTGGACTGGTGGTATTGTTGGTACTGGGGGGGACTTTTTTTTCTGACACTAGTATCTGTATCTGTTGGTTTGGAGTGGAGGCCATCGACTGTGGTTCCACTCCAGAAATGACTGGATTTGGCGTACGATTTCCGCCATTTCCTGCCAGTTTTTTTTCCTTCCTGGCACTAAAAAACCTCTCCCTCTTTAGTGGCTGTGACTACCCAGGTTTTCCCATGGCCTGGATGTTTTGTATCTTTTTGTCCCCTTTAGATGGTGTGCCTAGCAATTTAAGTTATAGCACAGTCTTTCCTATACTGAAGAGGGACACATTTCAGGGTGGAAAAGCTTACAGGAAGTGAGTTTGCATTTTCCTGTTGTCATATGGGCACGGCATTTTCTAGGGTGGTCATAGTTGCACGTCCGATCTGTTTTTCCAGATTTCCCATGCCTGCAGATACCAAGTGCATAGTATGTGCACAGGCTTGGTTTCTGTTTGCCTTGAGTTTCTGTGACTGTGTTACCTGTTGATGCATGTTTACCTGTCTCATTCCTATCTTCACTAGTACTAACAATGGAGCTCTCACCAGTTGTTTCTGGTAATATATCCTCACTATTGCTAGTGGAGTCCCCTTGTTAGATTAACCCTTTGACTGTCGCGGCCGTATATATACGTCATACGAGGTACTGTATTTGATGTATATTCTTCTTTCTTTCAACACACCGGCCGTATCCCACCGAGGCGGGGTGGCCCAAAAGGAAAAACGAAAGTTTCTCCTTTTACATTTAGTAATATATACAGGAGAAGAGGTTACTAGCCCCTTGCTCCCGGCATTTTAGTCGCCTCTTACAACACGCATGGCTTACGGAGGAAGAATTCTGTTCCACTTCCCCATGAAGATAAGAGGAAATAAACAAGAATAAGAACTAGAAAGAAAATAGAAGAAAACCCAGAGGGGTGTGTATATGTATGTGCTTGTACATGTATGTGTAGTGTGACCTAAGTGTAAGTAGAAGTAGCAAGACGTACTTGAAATCTTTCATGTTCATGAGACAGAAAAAAGGACACCAGCAATCCTACCATCATGTAAAACAATTACAGGCTTTTGTTTTACACTCACTTGGCAGGACGGTAGTACCTCCCTGGGCGGTTGCTGTCTACCAACCTACTACCTATATTTGATGTATATATACTCATAAATTCTAGCGGCTTCAAATCAAGCAGGAGAAAGCTGGTAGGCCCACATGTGAGAGAATGGGTCTGTGTGGTCAGTGTGCACCATATAAAAAAAATCCTGGAGCACGCAGTGCATAATGAGAAAAAAAAAACTCAGACTGTTTTTTTTTAATTAAAATGCCGAATTTGTGGTCTATTTTCGTATAGTATTTATGGTTGTATTCTCGTTTTCTTGGTCTCATTTGATAGAATGGAAAACATATTATAGAAATAGAGGCGATTTTGATTGATTTTACTATAAAAAGAACCTAGAAATGGAGCTCAAAGTAGGGGAAATGTTTGATTTTTGTCAATGTTCAAAAGTAAACAAATGATGGCATTGTCCAATAAATGTCCAACTAGCCATTCTAATATGCAGTCATGAATGGGTTGATGTTATTTATACAATTATTACAGTATTGCAGTAGTCTGCATAATAGTAAGTCTTCTATTTTTTGTTTGAATAAAAATTCAAAATAGAAAGCAAGAGTAATATCAGAGGGGCCTGGAGACATGACTGATGAACAAAGAAAATGTTATTTTAGAGCCAGGAATGTCTGCATTGTTCATTCTGGACCTTATTTTAAAATTGTCATATTTTTTTAGTTTTTGTGAAATTGGCCAAATTGCAAATTTCTGACCACATTATTAGGTAGTTGAAATCGGTAAATGGGCAGTTCTTTGTACTCAATCGATAGAAAAAATGGAGTTCTAAAGAAATGGCTATGAGTTTGGGCGACTGGAACAACGGAATTAGCCGAAAATAGTGCTCAAAGTGGGTGAAATCGCCGATTTGTAAACAGCGCCGAGGTCGCTAACTTCACGAGAGCATAATTCCGTCAGTTTTCCATCAAATTTCGTTTTTTGGTGTCATTACAATCGGGAAAAGATTCTCTATCATTTCATAAGAAAAAATAATTTTTTTTTTTTTAAATTTTGCGACACCAGGAGACACCTCAGGATTGGGGGCTGCAACAGTCAAGGGGTTAAATTTTTTATATAATACATTTAAGTTTTTATTTATCATCTACAGTTCTTACATTATAAAGAGCTCTTGGTCCAAGGAATTAGACCTGATCTCCTCCTTCCTTGGCTTGAACCTGATTGCCAATCATTTCCTCAGGTGCTGTATGACCCTTATGAGCTTAGTGCTTCCTCTAATAATAATAATAATAATAATAATAATAATAATGATAATATACTATAGCATGCAAGTAGGGGGATAACCAGTAAACCTCTGGCTGTCTTCAAGAGGGAGCTGGACAGGCACCTGAAATCAGTATCTCACCAGCTGGGCTGTGGTTTGTACGTCGGTTTACGTGCGGCCACCTTTAACAGCCTGGTTGATCAGGCCCTGATCCACTGCAAGACCTGGCCATGGACTGGGCCTTGGGGGCGTTGATGCCTTGAAAAACTCTCCCGGTATACTCCAGGTAGAGGTACTTGGATGTTAGTCAACTGGTGTGGGTTGCATTGGAAATATGACAAGTCCTCGATAACACACTGACTTTCTTGAGTTATCCTGGGCGGCTAGCCCTCTAGGGTTAAAAATCTGAACAAAATCTTATTTCATCATCATCATAATAATAATAATAATACAATATAATAATAATAATACAATATAATAATAATACCACCAAGGTCTGGTCTCAGACCAGGCCGTGGGGTCATTGAACCTCGAAACCTTCTCCAGCTATACCACCACTATTTTCCATCAAGGTTCCTTGGTGCCGATGAAGGGCTTATGATCTGGGAATTGGGGCTACCCTCCACATTCTTTTATTAACCATGATTCCCTCCAGTTCTCCAACCCCTACAAATTTGACGTGTCCTCGTAAATACGTATATTACCATAACATAATGCTAGTCTAATATAATACCAGTCCTTAGTTTATGCCTGGGCATTTTTTTTTATTATGTACATTCTCCAATATGAAGTGGGTTGTGCAATTGAGCTATTGTTATATTTGTGATATTGGGGAAATTTTTTTTTCTAACCCATATAATCTAACTTAGAATTTAACTCCTGGTCTAGGTTAGATTGTTATGTTTAGTTTTTGAAAAACTGTCTTCATTGCACAACCCACTTAATATTAAAGAATTTACGTAATAAAGTACAGTAGTAGTACCTTGACTTATGAGTTTAATTCGTTCCGTAACCTATTTCATAACTCAATTTGCTTGTATGTCAAATCAATTTTCCCCATTGAAATTAATTGAAATGCCATTAATCCGTTCCAGCGGAATTCCTGGCTCTCGGGAAGCAGGAGAAAATACTTCAATATAATGCTAATATCAACTTTATGGCTTATTTATCAATCACAATTGATCTAATATGACATAATAAACAATGTAAATAACAAAGAAACATGATGTATACTCTAGAATGAATAAAATAGGTTATGTGACAAGTGGTGGCGGCCACTCCTGAGGTAAAAATAGTTATTGCTATGACCATGTCTTCCCATTCTTGCCCTTCTGAGGTCTTATCATAAGAGAAAATGGAGTGTTTGTGAGGCTAACTTCACTAGATCACTAGTTTCATAAGGAAAACATTGAAACAAAACAATTTTCTCGTATTTTTCTATGATTTCATGCTTTATTTCAATGGCCATCATCCTCCTCCTCTTCTCAGCACTGTCCTTTGCACTTACTTTCTTAGGGCCCATGATTAGAAAAAAGAAATTTGGCAAAATAACTGCACAAAGCACTGGGATGCTGGGCGGATGTTGTGGCGTTCGCTGTGCCAAGTAGTGGCGGTGTACTATATGAAGCTCACTCATAACTCGAATTTTGGCTCGCAACTCAAAGCAAAATATCAACTGAGCGACGGCTCGTAACTTGGAAAACTCCTAAATTGGGGCACTCGAAAGTCAAGGTACCACTGTATTGGTAAGCACAAATACGATTCTGCCAAATATTTCACAAAAAAAAAAAAACTTGTTTGAATAGTATTTTGGTGCTTTAAGTAACAGTATATTAGTGGAGTTCTGCCTCAGGACTAAAGTAAATAGTGAAATGACCTAACTGATATGAGGAATTGCTATATTAATATTATACAATACTATCAAGCAGAGAAGTAAGATACATGTGCAACAGCTGGATATCTTTATTGCTGAGATGTTTCACCTACTCAGTAGGTTTCTTTAGCTGAAATACAGGTGTGTCTTAAATACTGGAGATGTTAAAAGTATAGTGGGGAAATATGTATGATGTGGTCAGTCCCTCAGCCTTGAAGAAATTTGAAGGCTGAGGGATAGAAATAGATTGTATAAAAACTAGTCCTGATTGTACTCTGAATATAAATTTAGGACTTTAAAAGTGGCAGATTCCTAAGTAATAAAACTGTGAAAGTTTTATTGTCTTAATACTTTAAGTCAAACTCCATTTAAGTAGGGAATCCTTGATACCAGGAAGGGCTCTTGATGCAAGAAATTGGAACCACTCTATCCGTCTTTTGATTAAACCTGATTTCCTCTCATTTCTTAAGCCCTGTATTAGCCCCAGGGTTATTATTATAATAATAATCTCTGATTTTGTCATGTGGTAAAAGTGATTTACAAGTCAACTGTTGCTAATTTCTTTTACTGTGTCCCTTGACAATGTGATGATTCTGTATATAAGTAATATTAAGAATGTCGACATTATTAATATTTTCATTGTGATTAATTTAATACATGCTAAAGTATCACATGTTTTTGAACTATTTTTTTTACATAAGCCTAGGTATATATGTGCTTTTAATATTTCAGTAAGTTTTTAAGTGTCATAAATCATGTTGCTTTGACAGGCTTCGTACAGTCAAGAGGATGACGAACACTACCGAGGGGAGTTTGGGGCGGGATATGTTGTGGGATCCTTCCCCAAGGATTTTGTGTATGGGCCAGATGACCCAGACCAGGATATGACTCTCATCTTTGCACCAGATCAAAAGCCAAAAATCTTGCTCATGGGACTTAGAAGGTATGTAAATTGGAAGTTAGCTTACCGTAGATGTAATTAGCCTGTATACAAAAAGGTGTCTGCATACAATGTATTTAACATGTGTAATTTTATTTCATGGGTGATATATGAATATAAGATTTCTTTACAGATCCTGCTTGTGCTGAAAATACAAAATGTTGTTAGATCTTGTATTGCATAAATGAGTGTGGTACCATCCATATGGTACATCACCATTTATGTACTGAATGTTTACCACTTGGAGAGGTTCCCTCCTCTGTGGAAGAGCTATCTTTTAATGCTACTTTTCTCTCTGACTTTTTTTTTTTTAAACTGACACTGATATTTCTGCACCAACTATGTTTATGAATGGGTCATTATATGATTTAAGACCCCTGTCTGGTGTTTTTTCCTCCTGACAGATAAAATAACAACCAACTGTGACTTCACCATTTGCTCTTGTTGTCACTCTCGATACTTCTGCCTCATTGCCTTTTCTGTGATCTGCTCAATGGCCCTCAAAGATATAGTGCTTTCCATGCATTCTATGCAGTACAGAATAATATAAAAATAAGGTCAATTTTACAACTTTACTATTATGGATAATTCAGTACCATGTTGGCCATGATGCAACTGCTATAATTTTTTACCTATAGGAAAGTTACTAAGTAATCACTAAGAAAACCATTATTAAGTGACAAATATATTACAATAACTGTGCTGTTAGAGTGTGAGCAAGGTAACTTTTATGAGGGGATTCAGTGGTAAAAAAGTTGGATGGACCTGTGTTCAAGAGGTGGGAAAGGTAGTGCCTGTACTGTAAAGGAGGAGTGGGAATGTTAGAGTCAGAGGGTAATCTGATTGTGTGAATCCTGGTAAATGAGTTTTTCTCTGTGTGGTCACCGTGCCTTAGCGGGAGATAGCCATTGAGTAAAAAGAAAAAATCTTTGAGGATGGGTGGGGATGTTGCAATTTGGAGGTCATTTATTTGTGATTGCCTTTATACTTCTCGCAAGAGGACTGTTGAATGAATGATGGTGAATGTACTTTTTTTTTTTTGGGGGGGGGGGAGAAGCATCCTACTTTGGTGTAAGATGGCCAGTGTGCTAAAAAAAGATATGTTGATTGATGTGTATTATGAACACAGGTAATGAATGGCCTGTGAGACCTGGTCATAATGGGAATTGGAGCAGACAGTCTCAGCAGTAGACTATAATGTATATTTTGCCTTCACCCACTATATACAGATATTTACACTATGTACAGATAGAATAATAATAAATGTACATGGTGACAGATGGCAAAGCAGAAGCCAGAGAGAGTGCACCGTACTCAACCAGCAGGTAGGCAAGTCTGCCAATGCTTACCACAAGTGAACCACGTTGCTTCAGCTTTGGCAGGCTTGCCTGTGATTGGTCAATGAACCAAGGTACTGATTTAACGACGGGTACCCTATCAATCATTAAACCCTTAGCACCTGGTTTGCTGGTTGGGAGGCAGCCTATATGGGAGTGTGACATACGCCGAATAAATTGTAACATATTTTTTGCATGCCATAGTGTGTATGGTGAAAGATTTCTTGTAGTCAGCAAACAAAAATTAAATACAGTAATGTCTGGATAATTGCACGTTATCAAGAATTTTGCTTTTAAGTTTGTTTAATCATGAGTTGGATGAGTTTGTTACGTATTGTTATTAGGCAGTTATAAAGATTTCCCACTTCTTTTGGGTTCTATAATGTTTTAATTTGTCAGCCAGAAATGGATCAGAAAGAGTAAAAACTGTTATTAAACCAAGAAAATTCCTTTTATGTGGCCAACCAAGTTTTCCATTCCCTCTTCCTTCAGCCATGAGAGGCTCTTTTCGGTTCCTTCCTTCCCTTCAGAGGGTGAAGGATTGTTTTTCATTCCCTTCCTTCCCTTTATGGGTGAAGTGTTCTTGATTCAGGGAATTGGAGTTACCCCTCCCCTTTCTTGGATCAAGTGTGATTGTCTCTCAGTCTTCAGACATGGTATAATCTTTGCTAGTTAAGTACTTCCCCAAAATTTAACACACTGGCTGTCTCCCACTGAGGGAGGGTGACCCAAAAAGAGAGAAAATACATTTATCTTCCTTCAGAGTGCAGGCACTGTGCTTCCCACTTTGAGGACTCAATCCCATCTAACTGGTTTCCCTGAATCACCTCATAAATACTGTCTTGCTCACACTCCAACACTAACCCACTCTGCTTCATCAAATATGTAAGCAGGTGATAAGTTCTTTTTGTTTCTTCTCAGTGCAGAATAACCCATGTGGGTCCTGTGCTTTCTATGAATATAATTATGAGGTTCCTTTAATATTGTGATATTACAGACTTTACTATATAACTGTGTTGTCTGTGCTTCAACTTATTGCTTGTTTTATCCCTTTTCTAACATTTTTCTCTTGCAAACAGTTTATATAAATAAACTTGAGAAAAATCTGACCTGAAGATGTATGTAATTCAGTGTAAAAAACAAATATATATATTTAAAAAATATAGAGAAATGATTCTTGTTATGTGGAGCACAAAATGAATTCTAAGCAAAATTATTTTTTTTATTTCTGCATTCACAATTTGTTTACTAATTTGCACAGCTGAGTTCAGTTTGTTAATACACTGATTATGAATATTTGTTATTTAATACAGTGGAACCTCTACTTACGAGTTTAATCCGTTCCATGACCTTGCTCGCAACTGGATTTGCTCGTTTGCAGAGTCAATTTTCCTCATTTAAATTAATTGAAATGGAATTCATTTATTCCAGTGAAATTCTAAGCATGAGAAAATACTTTAATAATTTCCCTAATATCAACTCTACAGCTTATTTATCTATCACTGTGGCATGCAAAGAGTATGTAACCTTTATTCAGCGCATGTACACACCCTCATTTACAGGCTATCTCACCCAACCAGGGAACTAAGGGTTGGCGATGGGGGCCCATCGTTCAACCAGTACCCAGGTTCCAGCCAATGAAAAGATGGTTTTGGCAATCGCAGAGGTTATGTGGGTACTACTCTCCTGTCTGCCCTTGTCATTCCCATTCTAGAGCTGGTTGAAGCACGGTCTGCTCTCTAGTGGCTTCTATTCTGCCTTGCTTACCGTGGAGTGCACTAATACCTATTGTTGTACATAGTGTATATAGTGTACATACTTCTGTTCTAAATTGGTGAAGGATAATAAAAGTTTTCCAGCTGTGTTTATTTTGCTCCCTTTACACCCAGGATAACAGGCCTTTGGGTCTCCTGGGTTGTAATAATCACAATTCATGTAATATGACATAAACAATATTAATAACATAGAAACATGATATATACACTAGAATGAATAAAATACACGTCATTAGGTATGTGGCTAGTGGCGGTGACAGCAGCCATTGTTGTTGGGGTTTATAGGGCCACCACAGTGGCCATTCCTGCTCCTGACTACATGTGTAGAGAACCTAGGATAACCCAAAAAAGTCAGACAGAGTGGCTTATAAGTGCTACACCCTTAATGCTTCACTTAATTGCTACACTCTTAATGCTACACTCTTAATGCTACACTCTTAGTGCTACACTTTGCCACTGCTGCTTCATGTTGTCTGCGACTGCTACCTCATGATGTCTGCCACTGCTGTTTCATGTTGTCTGTCACTGCTACCTCATGATGTCTGCCACTGCTGCTTCATGTTGTCTGTCACTGCTACCTCATGTTGTCTGTCACTGCTGCTTCATGTTGTCTGTCATGTGCTCAGTGTCTGTCACTGCTCCTTCATGTTGTCTGTCACTGCTCCTTCATGTTGTCTGCCACTGCTGCTTCATGTTGTCTGCCACTGCTACCTCATGTTGTCTGTCACTGCTGCTTCATGTTGTCTGTCACTGCTGCTTCATGTTGTCTGTCACTGCTCCTTCATGTTGTCTGTCACTGCTGCTTCATGTTGTCTGCCTCTGCTACCTCATGTTGTCTGCTACTGCTGCTTCATGTTGTCTGCCACTGCTGCTTCATGTTGTCTGCCACTGTTACCTCATGATGTTTGCCACTGCTGCTTCATGTTGTCTGTCACTGCTGCTTCATGTTGTCTGCCACTGCTACCTCATGATGTGTACCACTGATGTCGCCAAAGAATCGAACATTTCTGCAATTTTGAGCTCAATTTCTCAATTTATTTTTGTAGTACATCTTCCATTCTATCACGAGACCAAATAAAACGAGAATACAACCATAAAAACCATACGAAAATATACCGCTACGGGGAGGTTAATGGCTGAGAAGTGAACTCCGTTATTTATGGTCCGATTTCTTTCATTTTTGGTGTACATTAAGAAGCATCTTTTCTTCATACATTGCCCAAGTTTCAATAAGATAGTCCAACAAACAACTGAGATCCAATTCCCTTGATCAAGAGCAAGAGCCCCCTCACCAGTTTCAGTTAACCTTCCTTGAGGCCCGCTCGCATCTGGAAATTTTGCTCGCGTCTGGAAGCAAAAAATCGACCGAGCAGCTGCTAGTATCTGGAAAAACTTTCGCATGTGGATGCACTCATAAGTAGAGGTTCCACTGTATTTTTATTTACAGTATCCTCATTAACACTGAGATTGTATGTACAGTAAACTGAGAGGTAGTACACCTTTGATATACCTTTGAAGAGTTTTCAGAGGTTTGACTACTCTCAGAGCCCGGCCATGGGCCAGGCATGTCCGGTGCTTGCCTGATCAACCAGGCTGTTGCTGCTGGAGGTCCCCTGCCCCACATATCCATCACAGCCTGGTTGATCTGGCACCTGGTGAAGATACTTGTCCAGTTTCCTCTTGAAGGCTTCTACACTTGTTCCAGCTGTGTTTCTATCTTCTGGTAAGATGCTGAATAGTCTGGTACCCCAATGTTGATACAGTGTTCCCTTATTGTCCCCACTGCACCCCTGCTCCTCACTGGGTTTATTTTACACTTCCTCCCATATATCTCATAGTTGTTATGGCAGTGTGCAGATTTAGGACCAGGCCCTCGAGTACTTTCCAGGTGTATATTAAGGTGTATATTATCATACATCTCTCTCTCCTCTGCTCCAGTGAGTACACATTCAAGACTTGAAGGCGTTCCCAGTAATTTAGGTGCTTTACTGGGTCAATGCGAGCCATAAACAGTCTCTATATTTGTTCCAGCTCTGATATTTCTCCTGCTTTGAACAGGACTGCCAGCACTGAGCAATATTCTAAATGAATGAGGGAGCACTAGTGATTTGAAGAGTGTCACCATCGACATTATTTCCCTTGTTTTGAAAGTTCTGGCTGTTGGGATCTTTGTCTTGTTATGTTCCTTAAAAGAAAGGTCAGCTGACATAATTATTCCCAGGTCTTTTATGTGTTCCTTTTGTTTTATTTGGTGACCCTCTTGAGTTTTGTATAGAGTGTTCCTTTTGAGTTCTTCATTCTTTCCATACCTAAGCAGCTGGAACTTATCACCATTGAACATTATGTTGTTCTCCATGCCCCACTGGAAAACCCTGCTTATGCCTTCCTGTAATTTTGCAGTGTCCTCTACCGTAGTGTACCGTAGTGATTTTCATGCTTATTTTAGTGTCATCTGCAAATGATGATACAAAAGTGTGATGGGTGTTTTGATCTATGTCTGCTATAAGGATGAGAAACAGCAGAGGTGCCAGGACAGTGCCTTGGGGCACTGAACTTTTGACCTCGCTGATGCTGGATCTTGCTCTGTTTACTACTACTTGTTGTGTTGTGTGTGCTAGGAACCTGAAAATCGATCTTCCTACTTTTCCCGTAATACCCATGGCCCTCATTTTGTGTGCTGTCACTCCATGATCACATTTGTCAAATGCCTTTGCAAAATCTGTGTAAATCGCATCTGCATTTTGGTCTTCCAATGCCTCCGTAATTCTGTCATAATGGTTCAGCAGCTGTGACAGGCATGATCGTCCTGCTCTAAAACCATACTGGTTCGAGTTATGCTGGTTGTGCTGGTCCATGAGATTTGTAATCTGCTGTCTCATCACTCTTTCAAAGATTTTTATGATGTGAGAAGTTAGGGCTACTGGTCTGTAATTTTTAGCTAGTGCTCTACTACTTCCCTTATGTAAAGGAGCTATGTCTGCACTCTTTAATGCCTCTGGTATTTCACCTGGATCTGAATTAAAAAATAATGAAATGAAAATGTATTATATTGCAAGATCCAGACCATTTCTGTAACTTCTTATTCTTATATAAAAGACAGAACCACAATTCTCCTTGGTTTGTGTATGTACAGTACTTTAAACATAAGAAAATATTACAGATTTTGACTTAAACATAAGAACATCTTACAGATGTTGACTTTTCATATGTATAATGTTGATGGAGATATGCCATGTCATTCATAGAATAGTACTTTAGTGCATCCACTAAGCTGTTTCTCATTGATTGAATTATTTAAAAAAAAAGATATTCTGTTTTTTTTTTAATTCTCATTGTATCTTTTTAGAAGTGGAAAATCATCAATACAAAAGGTTGTGTTTCACAAAATGACGCCAAATGAAACGCTTTTCCTGGAATCCACAAACAAAATGGAATCTGAAAATATATCAAATTCCTCATTCGTCCAATTCAAGATCCTTGATTTTCCAGGACAGATAGACTTTTTTGAGCCTTCCTTTGATTCCGAGAAGATTTTTGGAGGTCATGGAGCACTTGTGTTTGTCATAGATGCTCAGGTATGCCCATTGTTTCATATATGCACGCTGTATAGCCCTTGTGGCTTAGTGCTTTTTTTTTTATTATAATAATAATAATTCATATATGCAGTTATTGCATGTTTTTTTTAACTCTTACACTTTTCTTGAGATTTGATTGTATGCCTTGTTGAATGTTATTTTGAAGTTTTGTACCTGATGCTATTGACTGAATGACCTTCAATAAAAAAGTATAATTTATTTACAGAGCTTATGAAGTATGGGATTTCCATGGTTAGACTGTACATTAAAAAAAATTGACTTGATTCATAAACATCTGAGAAAAAAATTCATGGCTGTAAGAAAATGGCTAACTTTCCCTGTGAAAAAATTACAGAAAAAAAAGAAAAATTGTTACACAAATAACCCGCACATAAAAGAGAGAACCTTACGACGACGTTTCGGTCCGACTTGGACCATTGAGTGTGACTTTGTTAATGGTCCAAGTCGGACCGAAACGTCGTCGTAAGCTTCTCTCTTTTATGTGCGGGTTATTTGTGTATCGTTCCAGTCACGGTATTGTGCCTTTTTGTTATTTAAGAAAAACTGTTGTTTGCAGTTGCAACAACTAACATAACTACCAAAAGTAGATGAGCAGGGTTGGAGAGAAAACTCAAAAAGTCCTTTCTTGTTTTATTGGGATTTAGCTTGCTTGAAATGCTCTGTACTAACAGCTTTCCATGTGTACTATTAAATGTTATCCAATTTTGTGAAAACTGTATATCATGTAGAAAGAAATTATTATTATTAATTATTATGTTTTTTTATTATCACTCAACTGTTGTCTCCCACTGAGGTAAGAGGGTCCGAAAAAGAAGAAACACTTTTACTATCATTCACTCTATCACTGTCTTGCCAGAGGCACATCAGTACTACAGTTTAGATGCCCCTCCAGACTGCAAATATCCCCACCCCTCCTTCAGAGTGTAGGGTGTGTACATCCCCACTTAAAGGACTCATGTTTGGCTAATCTGTTTTCTTGAATCCTTTCTCAAATGTTGCCTTGCTCACACTTCAACAGCTCATCAAATCCCAGAAACCATTTGCCTCCATTCACTCCTACTTAACACACAAATGCCTGCTGGATGTCCAAGCTACTCACACACAAAATCTTCTTTACCCCTTCTCTACCACCTCCCTCCAACCCCTGCAATGCCTTCCTCCCAACCCCTACCATGCCTTCCCTCCAATCCCCTACCATGCATTCCCTCTTCTAGAGATTTATACACCTATAGACCTATTTGCCAACAAGTGCACTCCCAAATATCTGAACACATTTACTTCCTCCATACTCCCTCCTTCCAAACTGATATCTAATCTTTCATTACACTCCTAAATTTGTCCATCAACCTTTGCAATTTCTCTTCAGAATCCCCCAAAAGCATAGTGTCATTGGCAGAAAGCATTTGTGACAACTCATTTTGTACTAAATTCTGCATATTTTAATTCCACACCTCTTCCCAACACCCCAGCATTCACTTCTCTTACAACCCCATCTATAAATATGTTAAACAACCATGGTGACAAGACGCATCCCTCTTTAAGGCCTACTTTTACTGGAAAATTATCTCCCTCTCTCCTAAATACACTAACCTGAGCCTCACTATTATTATTATTATTACAGGAGAGAATTGTTGTCAGATGAAAATCCATCAAGTGACTGAGAGAGAATCATGGGCTAGCACTGAACTAGGCTGAGTATTGTCAGCAGGTGGCAGGCCAGGTGCTAGGCCTACCATTGACAGGAATTACAAAAGGCTACATGGTAGACTTATGAAGCAATAATAACCCTCCCCTCCCCTCCAAACAAAAAGGAGAGGAATCAGATTTAGAACTTTATTACAGAGATAATATAAAGAAACGAGTAGTTCCTAAATTTAGATTAGAAAGGTGTTTACCTTTCTAATCTAAATCTAATACCATAGGGAAAGACGGCATATCTTGGAACTTCCATGAGACTTATTCTTATTTAAGCCACGTAGATTCGCTGGGACAGAGAAGGCACTCAGGCTGATACTATCCTCTGCAAACTGAAGGATCACACAGTTAACACAGAATCTGAAACATAAAATACATATTTCTTGATTTATTTTTTACCAAAGATTGTATGTGCATACCTCACATGCAACAAGTCATTTTTTTCTAGAACACATCCTTATCTCAAAGTAGTGGACAGTCTTACAATAGTCTACAGTACTCTTCTACTTTCAAATGGCTATACAGTTGGCATTCCCTACAACCCCAGTAAAAAGTATAGTATTACACTTTTGTGTAGTACTATACTTCTTTTGTGTTGATCTCACATGTATTCTTCTGCCTTAGGAACCTAACCATTGCAAATTTGGGGGTTTGCCTGTATATTTGGGTTAGTTATAAGTACTTCAAATATTTACATTTGTCCTTAAAGTTTGTTGTAGGGATATACTAGGGAATCACTTAGGCAGGATCCTCATTAAGACATTGAGAGAAATGGTATAAAATAGTGACACGATGGAAACAAACAAATGCACCGTAATGAGATCCTTTATTGAAAACTTGTCACCCACACATTGGGCATAACATTGTCAGTAGTGTTTTTTTCTGCATTTGTCTCTATTTCCATTTGTGACTTAAAAATGCCCACTTTGTAGGCAATGTTGTCAATAAAGAATCTCATTACTGTACAGTGTGCTTGTTTCTTGTTTCATCATTAAGGCATGTCAGTACTGGAAATGTTGATTTTTAATAAAAAATTGTTGGTGGTGTTACTAGAGTTGTTAATTTGATTTCAGGATGATTATATGGAGGCATTAAACAGACTTCATCAGACTGTTCTAAGAGCACACAAGGTCAATCCACACTTGAAATTTGAGGTCTTTATCCATAAAGTCGATGGCCTCTCAGATGACACTAAGATTGAGATTCAACGTGATATTCATCAGAGAGCGAACGATGAACTTATCGATGCAGGTGAGGTCATTGCAAACCATTTTTTTTAGGAGATATTGTGAATTTGTTTCTGTGCCTGCTGTACACCATACAGTATCTGCAGTCATGGTTCATGATTAATGTTATTCACCAGTTTTTTATATACTGGAGTGACTAAGTTTAGTCAGTCTATAGCCTCTCCTCACTTAACGATGGAGTTCCATTCCTAAGACCAAATCAGTAAATGAATTCGTCACTAAGCAAGGAGCATACTGTAATGGTGTGGGTTTGTGTCAACCATCATTGATATTGTTTTAATGTCACCTTTGCACCATTTATAACATTTTTAGTATATTTTTAGATGTTTATACTGTAGTGTACTGTATATTGTAATAAACAGAATAGAGGAAATCAGCTCTAATATACATTATTTAGGTATGCATACTGGTCAGAGAGCCCGTCGTAAGTCCGAGTCATCGGTAAACGAGTATGTCACTAAGTGAGGAGAGGTAATTATATTTCCTTCAATGGGGGGAAAAAGGTGCCTTAATACATGTGAAGGGCTCATGATCCAAGGAATCAGAGCTACTCCTCTTTCTTGGATCAACTTTGATTACCTACCATTCCCCAGGCATTGTATGATTTCTACAGGTTTGGGGTGCTCCCATGAATATGCTGTAATAATAATACACATACTGTATTTCTATTTCCCATGAACACCTTCTTGAGTTGCATTTAGGTGATTCATATACCACACCACAGTTTCCTTATATTTAATATTTCACTCTTTCACATTTTCAACTTCCTGCCTTTACACTTCCTTCCAAACTCTTCCACCAACCTTTGCAACTTCTCTTTCATATCTACCAAAGTCCTGTGTCATCAGCAAAGAGCATCTGTGACAACTCCCGCTTCATATTAAATTCAGTATCTTAATCCCTTGCCTCTCTCCCACATTGAGTATTCAATCAAATTAAAAGTCCATCAGAAGTGGCAGGCTTGGTAGGTCCTACAGATGAAAAACAAATTATTCAAGGCTTGACGATGTGGTTGCTGGGTCATCGTCTTTCAGGTAGAATTGTCACTATGAGAGGACTCGCTTGTAGATTGAGACTAGAGTCACCACATCTCACCCACCTGCTTGCAGGTGGTCTTGTGTGTCTGTGATTTGTGGTCTGCTGCTGACTGGGTTATTGTTATGTTCATGGAAATGCACTAAACCTTCAAGATTCATACAGTGACTAGGCATTGGGAGGTGATCAGGTTTGATCCAAGGAAGAGAAGGGTAACTCCAGTTTCTTGGATCAAGGCACCCCATTGAAGGGGTTGATTGTCGTATCTGCGTGCCTCTGGCAAGACAGTGATATGTTTCTTTTTGGGGTTACCCTGCCTCGGTGGGAGACAGGCAGCGTGTTAAAAAAATAGATATACATGTATACAGTAGAACCCCTGTATCCACTGATTCGGTATCCACAGTTTCAGTTATCCATGGTACACTGTAGCCCAAAAATACCTCTTAATATTGCATAATAATGGCCCCAAAGCCTGTGAAGTGCTTCCCATTAGTGAAATAGTGATAATTCTCCACTTATTGTCCATAATTTATAATAGGTATGTATATTGGCAGTTTGGAGGGATATGCTGTGTATCTTTATACATATATGCTTCTAAACTGTTGTAATCTGAGCACCTCTGCAAAAACAGTGATTATGTGTGAGTGAGGTGAAAGTGTTGAATGATAATGAAAGTATTTTCTTTTTGGGGATTTTCTTTCCTTTTGGGTCACCCTGCGTCGGTGGGAGACGGCTGACTTGTTAAAAAAAAAAAATGTATAGAACTTATATATAGGGTTTGCTACTAGCCACAATTTTGGTATCCACGACAGGTCCTCGGAATGTATCTAAGGATAATGACTATTTATTTTAAGAATATTATGGTACCATTTGATTTCTACTAACAACTGTGATATTTACAGGCATGGAACAGATTCATCTGAGTTTCTATCTTACATCTATATATGACCACAGCATATTTGAGGCCTTCAGTAAAGTTGTGCAGAAGTTAATACCACAGCTTCCTACCCTTGAAAATCTCCTCAACATATTTATATCAGTAAGTTTTTAATGCTTTATCTCATTTCATGGTCTCACTTCATTTCCTTAAAGCATCTAATTTACATTGCTATAATATATTCTTGCCAGTACCCACTTTACTTATTTTGTGATATACCTTTGACTGGTTTTGAGGTCTAATACTTTTGTAGATGTTGTAGTGCATCCTGAAGCCAAACTTCTTTTTGACTGTCTAGCAGAATAGGCTGTTGTTGATGAATAAGACACATCTAAAACACTTGGGTATCTTTATTGCCAAAAAGTTTTGTCTGCGTAGCAAGGTTTTTCAGTCGAATGAAAGTGAATATAACACTAGCAATAGTAAAAGTGGAGAGGTAATTTAAGGTGATCAGCCTTGATGAGAGGGGTCAGTCCTTCAGCTTAAAGTAGGGGGCATATGGCCAGATCTTATATTGTGGAGCAGAAGTGAGGTGCAACAGCTGAAGATGACATCATTGGTGAGTATGGTCCTCTAGTAGTAGTAGTTGTAGGCGGGGCCCTGAGGCAAAGCTGCAATATATTTACAAATTTGTAAAATTTCTTCATGCTTATTTCTCAAAAAAAAAAAAAAAATGGCATAATACAGTGCATTTTAATTGATTTGACAGAAGGAATGAAGCATTTAATGTGATTTGTTCAAGCAATTTTTTGTTATATTAATGGATGCTTGAGGCCCCTCACACCTGAGGGCTCTAAATAAACTATCTCTTTAACTTTTATGTTAACCTGCAGCTGCCCTCACCCCTTTTTCTTCCAGATGACAAATGCTACACAAACATTTTGTTGACTGGATTGCAGGAATGGAGGAAAATTTTTTCCTAATATTGTAGATCACTGCCATACAGCAGGGAACTCTTCATGAATATTTTAGATCATTGTCATACAGCAAGGAATGATGATGAATATTGTAGATCACTGCCATACAGCAGGGAACTCTTGATGAATATTGTATATCACTGCCAAACAGCAGGGAATTCTTGATGAATATTATAGATCACTGCCATACAGCAGGGAGCTCTTGATGAATATTGTAGATCACTGCCATACAGCAAGGAAAGCTTGATGATAGTTCATTCAACAGGGCTTTCCCGTACAGTGTGTAAAAATGGTGATGTGAAGGTGGATATTATATTTACAACTTTTTTTTTTTTTTTTTCAGAATTCTGGTATAGAGAAGGCATTCCTATTTGACGTACTTTCCAAGATCTACATTGCTACTGATTCCTCACCAGTGGACATGCAGAGTTATGAGCTTTGTTGTGAGATGATTGATGTTGTCATTGACATATCCGATATCTATGGGTAAGAAAGTTTGAACTTCAATTTTTTTTTTTTTTTTATATCAAAAAAGTGTGTTCAGTTTCCTCCAAAACATTCTTTCATGGAATATAAAATAATTCAGATATATAATAGCCTAGGTATGTATCCATTATAGGTAGTAGGTTGGTAGACAGCAACCGCCCAGGGAGGTACTACCGTCCTGCCAAGTGAGTGTAAAATGAAAGCCTGTAATTGTTTTACATGATGGTAGGATTGCTGGTGTCTTTTGTCTGTCTCATAAATATGCAAGATTACAGGTAAGTCTTGCTACTTCTACTTACACTTAGGTCACACTAAACATACATGTACAAGCATATATATACACACCCCTCTGGGTTTTCTTCTATTTTCTTTCTAATTCTTGTTCTTGTTTATTTCCTCTTATCTCCATGGGGAAGTGGAACAGAATTCTTCCTCTGTAAGCCATGCGTGTCGTAAGAGGCGACTAAAATGCCGGGAGCAAGGGGCTAGTAACCCCTTCTCCTGTATATATTACTAAATTTAAAAGGAGAAACTTCAGTTTTTTCTTTTGGGCCACCCCACCTCAGTGGGATACGGCTGGTACGTTGAAAGAAGAAGTATGTATCCATGTTATGATGCAGTCCAAATGAATCTACCTGCACACCCTGATTATATAGTTTTCTGTATTTTTTTTTTTTGTCATGTCAGCCATTTCCCCACAAAAAATACCCCTCAAGGGAGGTTCCTTGATGTTGATGATGGGGTCTTGAGTCAGGGAATTGGACTCGTTCTATTCTTCCTTGGACCAAACCTGAATGCCTCCCATTTCCTCAGGTGCTATATGGCCCCTACAGGTCTAGTGCTCCCCCACAAACATAAAATAATAATAATAGTAATAATAATCACACCAAAATAGGATGATCCAAAGAAAGAAACACATTTGCCATGATTTTCTCTATTTTTTTTTTCCAACAAGTTGGCCGTCTCCCACCGAGGCAGGGTGACCCAAAAAGAAAGAAAGTCCCCAAAAAGAAAATACTTTCATCATTATTCAACACTTTCACCTCACTCATACATAATCACTGTTTTTGCAGAGGTGCCCAGAAAACAACAGTTTAGAAGCATATACATATAAAGGTACACAACATATCCCTCCAAATTGCCAATATCCCAAACCCCTCCTTTAAAGTGCAGGCATTATACTTCCCATTTCCAGTACTCAAGTCCCGCTATATAAAAATAACCGGTTTCCCTGAATCTCTTCACTAAATATTACCCTGCTCACACTCTAGTTGTATTCCTATAAATTATTTATTTATTTATTAACACACTGGCCGATTCCCACCAAGGCAGGGTGGCCCGAAAAAGAAAAACTTTCACCATCATTCACTCCATCACTGTCTTGCCAGAAGGGTGCTTTACACTACAGTTTTTAAACTGCAACATTAACACCCCTCCTATAAATGTGTGGATGTTGCGGCCCCCTACCAAACTAGCCGTTAAATAGTTAACCTGCCGGCCGGCAGTACCACTGGATACGTCATCAAACCCAATGTGGGGACTGCTGAGCCGGCCTTAGAGTATTATGTACCTGAACACCTCACGGTATGCATCTAAGCAGTAGGTACCTGAACACCTAATGGTACACATCTACTGGCTTTAGAAGCAGTAAGTACCTGAACACCTAACGGTACGCATCTAAGCAGTAGGTACCTGAACACCTAATGGTATACATCTACTGGCTTTAGAAGCATTAAGTACCTGAGCACCTCACGGTACGCATCTAAGCAGTAGGTACCTGAACACCTAATGGTACACATCTACTGGCAGTAGAGTATTCTACTGGCTTTTACTGATTTTAGAAGAAGCGCTCACCGCAGCTCACTGAGTCTGTTGGCCTCAGTTACTTGACGGCCGCATTCAGTGAGCTTGCAGCATGGTGTTCTGCAAGCAGGATTAACCGAACCTCCTTGCGGTGTGTCAGTTGGTCTTGAAGGCGGTAGATAGTACTCACCAGACCATCTTACGGTGTACTTCTACCGGCCTTAGAGAGTATTTACAGGACTACCGGTGATGTCTGTGGACTCACCGCTTTCGCTGGTCAACTGTGGGCCGGAGTCAACTGATGCTGTTTTAATGGGACATTACATAAAGAAAAGGTTGGAGTGTTACACTGAACTGGGCTAGGACCGTAGTGTGACACTTAGGGAAGTATGATGGAGTGGAACACTGAGATATGCTACAGGACCGTAGTGGAACACTGAGAAGAAAAGGGTGTCGTGTGACACTGAAGATGGTCAGGTTGTAGTGTACATTGAATAGTATCATGTGACTGGCCGCGACAAAGACGCTATGCGGTAGTGTGACGCAGAGACAAGGGTGTCAAGTGTGACACGGTTGCGAAAGTGTATGTGTTACACGGAAAAAAGGGTGTCAAGTGACACGGTGGAGAAAGAGCGTCACAACTCGGATAAGTGTCGTGAGAAACACAGTTGATTGTAATTTATTATTTTAAATGTTACTTAATTTATTATTTTAGCATAGATATATATATATATAGTGACACAGTAGTGTCAAGAGAGTTGTACCCTGTGTAGGGTCATGAATTATTTATTATTTTAGTAAAATGCTAATTATAATTTATTATTGTAACCTGTATATATTATCAAGATGTTTATTAGTTCAAATACCTCTAGACCAAAGATAGATGATTTTTATGTTATATTAAAGATTCATTTATTTTAATGTGTGTATTTATGTATCCCGAACTCTTTATTACAAAATGAGTAAAACCTACCATCTTTAAAAATAACTTTTTTTGTAATAGTGGATATAATTCAAAAGACCCGGTGGTCTGGTGGCAAAAGCTCTTGCTTCACACACAGAGGGCCCGGGTTCGTTTCCCGGCGGGTGGAAACATTTCAACGCGTTTCCATACACCTGTTGTCCTGTTCACCTAGCAGCAAATAAGTACCTGGGGTGGGTCGCTTCCTGGGGGACAAGATTAAGGACAGTCCTCGATGACGCATTGACTTTCTTGGGTTATCCTGGGTGGCTAAACTTCCAGGGTTAAAAATCCTAAGAAAATCTTATCCTATCTTATCCTCTGCACAACAACAACCCCCACCCATCCTTAACCCTTTGAGGGTCGACAGGCCCTCTCCGAAACTCGTTCTCAGGGTCAGCCAAATTTAAAAAAAAAAAAAAATTATTTTCTCTTATGAAAAGATAGAGAATCTTTTCCCGATCATAAAGACACCAAAAGTTTGAAATTTGAATGAAAACTTACGGAATTATGCTCTCGCAAAGTTAGCGGTCTCGGCGATGTTTACGCATCGGCGATTTTGCCCACTTTGAGCCCCATTTTCGGCCAATTTCACTGTACTAGTCGACAAAAAACATGAATATTTCGCTAGAACTCCATTTTTTCTATCGAATGGGTGCAAGAAACCACTCATTTATGAAATTCAACTATCCAGTACAGTGGTCAGAATTTAGCAATTTTGCCAATTTCACACAAATTTCAAAAGATGCCAATTTCCGAATAGGGTCCAGAATAAACAAGAAAGACATTCCTAGTACTAAAAGGACATTTCCTCTAGTCATTAGTCATGTCTCAAGGCCCCTCTTATATTCTTTTGCTTTCCACTTTGAATTTTTATTTTCACAAAAATATAAGATTTACTGTTATGCAGACTACTGCATTAGTGTAAAAAATGGTATAAATATTATTGGTGCACTTGTGAAAGAATATTAGACTCACCAGTTGACGTGTATTGCACGCTTGGCACGATTTGTTTACTTTTGAAGTTTGGTAAAAATCGAACATTTCTGCTACTTTGAGCTCAATTTCAAGGCACCTTTCTTTGTAAAACTAGTCAAAATCATCTCAATTTCTGTAATATGTCTTCCATTCTATAAAATGAGACCAAGAAAACTAGAATACAACAATAAATACCATACGAAAATACACTGCAAAGTCGCTGATTTATTAAAAAAAAATGGTCAAAGTTTTTTTTTTCTCATTATGCACTGTGTGCTGCAGGATTTTTTTTAGACTGTGCACACTGACCACTTAGACCCATTCTTTCATATGAAGGCCTACCAGCTTTCTCCCACTAGATTTGAGGCCGCTAGAATTTATGAGTACTAGTACGTCAAAAACCCCTACGCGTAAGACGTACTAGTACGACGAAAACCCTCAAAGGGTTAAAAGTGCAGGAACTGTACTTAACACCTGTAGAGCTCAAACCTGGCAACAGATATTTGCAAAGAGTGATTAAACCATCCTAACTCTTCTCTAATGTACAATACTGTATTATTGTTTTATGGATGGAGTCATTGCAATAAATTTATTGACTTGTTGAAAGCTCAGCATAGGGTATTTTTTGAGTCCCAGTTGTAGATAGGGCAGTGCCTGCACTATGAAGAAGGGATGTGGGATGTTGCAGTCAGAGACTAATCTGATTGTGACATCAGCACACTTCTGAAAAAAAAAAACAATGATGGTAAATGTTTTCTTCTTCTTTGAGTCATCCTGCCTTGGCAGGAGATGGTTGTTGAGTTAAAAAATTTGGAAATTGACATAAAAAGTATAATAATTATCCTTGTGAGTGCTCTTCATTTTAAAAAGAAGTAGCTCTGTATTTTAAAATTTTAAATGATATTTAGTAAACCTTGAGGTAGTAGGTTGGTAGACAGCAACCGCCCAGGGAGGTACTACCTTCCTGCCAAGTGAGTGTAAAACGAAAGCCTGTAAATGTTTTATATGATGGTAGGATTGCTGGTGTCCTTTTTTTCTGTCTCATAAACATCCAAGATTTCAGGTACGTCTTGCTACTTCTACTTACACTTAGGTCACACTACACATACATGTACAAGCATATATATACACACCCCTCTGGATTTTCTTCTATTTTCTTACTAGTTCTTGTTCTTGTTTATTTCCTCTTACCTCTATGGGGAAGTGGAACAGAATTCTTTCTACGTAAGCCATGCGTGTTGTAAGAGGCGAGTAAAAT